AAATATCATATTTTCAGTATTTTCACAATTAAAATACTTTATTTATTGAATTATTAGGCCAATTCTGGACTATAAAAAATTTATATGATTATAGTACTTAATTCGTTCGATATTTTATAAATATAAAATCATATCTACCCAGATGACCCGCAACTGAAGCACTTTATTTTGACCAGTTTCAAAATTTTGAAATCGTCATTACGACATCACCTGTTTACAGGAATCGTTATTAACTCACTGCTACTTAAGTAGATTACAATGAAATTACTGATAAAAAAAAATGACGAAAGTTGATTGAATATTCCAAAAATCGAACTCGAAGCCTCTCGCCAATAGACGAACGAATTTATGACGTATATGAATTTAACTATTTTACATTATTGAAATGCAAGTGTTACCTAAATGGTTAAGAAATGTTATCAGATGCTTTGTTTATTAGAACGAATTTTCTGAAGGAGAGGTAAAATCACACATAAATGACCCTCCCCCTCAACGAAATCCTAATGTATTGGCACTTGTTGTGGCTCCCCCCTGTTCATGAATTCATTTATTAATATTTTTTTAGAAAAGACGCAAATAAAATTATTTTTATTGTTTAATACGAACATGCAGCACTTAAATTACAACAGACATCACCTAATTAAAAGTTTTGTTGTGTAAAAAACGTAAAAAAAGCATCAACAATAAACACGACAGTATTTATAATAGAAAAAGCGGCGGCGGTAATCAACATGATGAGCATGTCATGATGAGGAGGTAGAAATGGACTTGCTCGAGGAACATCCTTTGCAACTATCAATAGAATGGCTGACACGAGATGGAGTGCCGCTCCCAAGATGGAGAATATCGTGGTAGTTTTGTAACTTGTCCTCTCTCCAAGCATTCTAGATACAACAAGGACCACGTTTATCAGGATGTACTCTTCAAAAGTTGTTAGAATGATGTTTATGTAATGGAGATGATTCACAGATCGTAGAGGTTCGAAAGATAAACTCACGCAGAGACTGCATATCGCCTGAAAAGTGGGTCAACGTTAATTAACCAGTGATCTGAAAAACGGTAGCAATGATGCCTTTGAAAATTGAAATAAAAGATGCAAAATGTAACACTGTTCTCTACTTTAAATATTAAATGTACATTCTAGAAAATACCATAAATGGCGCGGTAAACGCCATCTATAGTACGATGCTACATTTTAGGATTACGTATCCTCCAACAAGGTCCATTTGTATAGATATCTATTTGCTGAAACGAATCCCGGCGTAGCTAACCTCAACGTGATAGGCACGTTACCATAATCGAATAAAATAATTCGAAGTGGTCTGTATTGTGTCGAAGCTGCCAGACGCGGATCGCGATTTCGATCTTTTTGGATCTCCTCAGCGCGTCGCGTTTATCGCGCCATTTGTGGCATTTTCTAAAACGCACTCTTAAGGCAACAGGTAAAAGTTGTTCTATGTTCTGTCGGAGCTGCCTGCGACGCGCTGATGAGATCCAAAAAGATCGAAATCGCGATCCGCGTCTGGCAGTTTCGACAGAATACAGACCACTTCGAATTATTTTATTCG